CTGAAAACAGGACTTCTTTCTTCTACAAAAGACACCCACAGGGAAGGCTTAGCCTTTATAGGGGGGTTTCTAAATAATATAGAGCCCGGGGCTTTCTCTAATGCTTTACTGAATAACTATGAGAGGTGGAAACATTTAAATACAGGGGATAAAAAGGTTAAGTTTTCTGTCATTTCATAGCTCACTAAAATTGCTCCCGCCAGGATTTTCACCCATCTCGGCCTAGTTACCATCCCCATCCTCAAAACAAGTTTTAAAATTAAATTAAGCTCTTCTGAAAACAAGTTTTCTAAAAGAAATGAGAGCCATAATACCCAGGACGGTGATGTTCTACAGCACAGTATGGTATGAGCACATCTAAAAATGTACTGAACCATTTCTCTTTGTTATTCACTGCTTCCTGCATTAGCCTATATTTTCCCCACTCTTCATTACACTGAAGTGCACAAGCAACAGGACCAGGAAGTGCAAGGTAAGACAGAAGCTTTAGGAACAGTTTCAACAAAGAACTGTACAACAGTGAAAGTGGAGAAGAGTCGATCAAGTTTGGACCTTGCTCAAAATGGATGCAACTGTGTTGACCTTAGTGGCTGTATTGCCACTGAGTGCCAAATTCAGATTTGATGTGTCTTGTATAAGCTTTGCTGTCTTTCCAGGATACACCCGTGACCTTCCATGTTGATGAGCCACCACTTTTTTTTCTCCTGTAAGCACAATGGCTGAGGCTAAGGGAGCAGTTCTTTCTCTTTGCTGCATTATGTGGCCTTCAACACAAAAAGGTGTCTGAGAATTCTCATGCATTTTCTCATCAGACACTGTCAGTGTTCTGGGCTTGGACCTACAGCATGCTGTTTTACTCATAAAAGTTCTCCCAGTACCAGCCTAACTTCCTGACTGACAACTGACAGCCTGGCTGTGTCTAGACTGGCAAGTTTTTCCGCAAAATTATTTGATTTTGCGGGAAAAACTTGCCAGCTGTCTACACTGGCCGTTTGAATTTCCGCAAGAACACTGACGATCTCATGTAAGATTGTCAGTGTTTGTGCGGAAATAGTATGCTGCTCCCGTTTGGGCTAAAGCCCTCTTGCACAAATCATTTGCGCAAGAGGGCCAGTGTAAACAGCACAGTACTGTTTTCTGCAAAAAAGCCCCGATCGCGAAAATGGCAATCGGGGCTTTTTTGCAGAAAACCGCGTCTAGATAGGCCACAGACACTTTTCTGCAAGAAGTGCTTTTGCGGAAAAGTATCCTGCCAATCTAGACGTGCTTTTCCGAAAATGCTTTTAACGGAAAACTTTTCCGTTAAAAGCATTTTCAGAAAATCATGCCAGTGTAGACGTATCCTGTGTTTAAGAGTCCAGCTCCGTGTAAGGGGGCACAGCCCCCACTGACCTTAGAGAAGGGTTTGTGATCACCTGCACCAGCCCTGAACGTGGTCCATATTGAACTGTGCTGACAAAGCTGCTTGGGGGCCCAGAGATGGTACAGCAAGGACAACAGCAAGGACTGAGATGCTTTGGTAGACATGCTGAAACGGGATCCCTGCAGGCAATGCTTTCCACTCCACAGTGGAGAGATGACCCACTAACTGCAGTGGTCTAACCAAAGGAAGTGTACTGACCAAGTCCAGAAGCTACGTCCTGTCTTCTTAAGCAAGATTCTCAAACTACGGGTTGGGACCCTAAAGTGGGTTACAAACCTGTTTTAATGGGGTCACCAGGGATGGTGTTAGAATTGCTGGAATCCAGAGCTGAAGCCTGAGCCTCACGTCCCTGGGCAGAAGCCAAACCCCATAGACTTCAGTTGTTGGTGATGGGTCCTGTTACAGGCCCCCCGGTAGGAACTAAACCCTACAGCTTCAGCTTTGATCCTCTTACCTGTGGTGGTGAGGTTCATGCTTTGGTCCCTGGGCAGCTGGGCTCATGTTTCGGTCCCCCTCCCACTCAAGTTGTGTAATAACTTTTATCATCAGAAGGGGGTCATGCTGCAGTGAAGTTTGAGAACCCCCTTTCTTAGAGGATATGGGCCTGTATGAGAAAGGAGCTAGGAAAACCTTAAAGAAAGTCATTATCACTGGCCTTTTGTTTTTAAGATGGGGAAAAATGGCAGACTCCAGTTTTAAAGCTCTGTGGAGTAGGGAGATGAACCCAACCTCTGGTCACAGCCTGATTCTCTCAGTCAGCAACTTGCCCATGTATCCTTCCTAGACATTGCAATCCCAGTCTTGTCAAGGTGAAGAGCCTATTAAGCCAAATGATAACAGATTGTAAATAGATACAGACAGAAGGATGTGAACAACCTGACTAGTTAGCCCAAATACACAACGTGCTCCTAAAGATGTACTTCTGGACGTACATGCTAAGAATGTCACTCCCACATTTCAAAATGATGCCCCCCACCTTCCTAGACATTGCAATCCCAGTCTTGTCAAGGTGAAGAGCCTATTAAGCCAAATGATAACAGATTGTAAATAGATACAGACAGAAGGATGTGAACAACCTGACTAGTTAGCCCAAATACACAACGTGCTCCTAAAGATGTACTTCTGGACGTACATGCTAAGAATGTCACTCCCACATTTCAAAATGATGCCCCCCATTCACTGTTTCCGTGTCCCTTGTGCAGTCATTTATACCAGTACAAAGTGGGTAAAGATCATTTGTGCCAGTGTAGGAGCACACATGCTCATAGCAATGGTAAATCTGGCCCTATAACACCACACAGAGAAAACCCAAGTCACTCCACAAACCCTGGACCTAAAACTGATCCAAGTGAAAGGGAATTCAGCCTGCAAGCTGTCCATTTGGCTCATTTCACAAGCATTACATCAATGAAATGCAACCTAGGCTAGTGAGTGGGCCATGTGAGTAGCTCTCCATCTCACTGGGTCGCAAGATTGTTGTAACTAAGAATGGTCTCATCGATAGGGTCTCATCTATAGGCTATTTTTGCTAAAGGTTTTTCAGTACCTAGAATTTGTGGGATGTGCCAATTGAATCACAGCAGTGCTTTGCCTGTATGCAGAGGGTGGGCATGACTCTCTCAGTTAATGTTGTGCGCAATCAGCACACTCCTCCCTTCACTTGCCCTTGCTTTGTGTGTGTCTCATTTTAGTAATACTGGTAGAAAAAACGGCATTGACAGATACCAGGAGAAAATGGCAATCGCACTATGGGCAACAGTAAACAAAATGTCTTGTGAGCCACACAGAACCCCAATGGCTGCAGGTTGCACACCACTGCAATACATTTTTTCTTCCATGTTATGATTGCTCAGTCCCCAGTATTGTGCCTTACATGGTACTAGCATTAGGGGTCCATTGAGTGTACCTAGCCATGTTATATTTGCATCATTTCCTCTTGCCATGTGCTGTAAGCTAATGATTTCCATTTGTTTTGTCTTAATTTCCCCCCAGCAGACACCCTCTTATTACTCTTGGTCTTGGTACCAACGGCAGGGTGCCAATCTCCCAGCAAAGATGCACCCAAAGAGCAGTCTGACACAGAGCTCCTAAAATGTCCGAGCTCATGTGCTTGCAGCTATGACGACTACAGTGAGGAACTCAACATCTTCTGCAGCTCCCGGAACCTGACCTGCTTCCCAGAAGACATTCCCAGCAATGTTAAGTCATTATGGCTGGATGGAAACAACTTATTTTCTGTGCCAGCTGCAGCCTTCAGTAATCTTTCCAACCTGGACTTCCTTAATCTGCAGAGCAGCCAGCTGGCAAGCATTGAGCAGCATGCCTTTCATGGGTTAAAAGGCCTCTACCACCTGCACCTGGAACGGAACAGGCTAAAACATTTGGCACCCAACACTTTCCTTCACACACAGAACCTTGCCACCTTAAGCCTCAACAACAATCTCTTCAGCAAAATTGAGGAAGACCTGTTTGCTGGGCTCTCCAACCTCTGGTACCTGAACCTCGGGTGGAATTCCTTAGTGGTGTTGCCTGATAAAGTGTTCCATCACTTGCCTAACCTGAGGGAGCTAGTCTTGGCTGGGAACAAGCTGCCCTACCTGCAACACCAAATATTCTGCAGTCTCAGTGAGCTGAAGGAGCTGGATTTGAGTAGGAACTTGTTGAAAGGCATCAAGCTCAATATCTTTGTCAAGTTGCAGAAGCTACAGAAGCTGTACCTCAACCACAACCTGATCAATGCCATTGCCCCACGTGCTTTTATGGGGATGAAGTCCCTCAGGTGGTTGGACCTCTCCCACAATCGTCTCATCTCACTCTTTGAAGAAACATTCCTGGGTCTCTTGAGCCTGCATGTATTGCGTTTATCCAGTAACTCAATCACCAGCCTGCGCCCAAGGACTTTCAAAGACCTCCAGTTCCTGGAGGAGCTGCAGCTGGGACACAACAGGATCAGGAGCCTCACAGAAAGGACTTTCGATGGGCTAGGCCAGCTGGAGGTCCTTACACTGAACAACAACCAAATTCAAGAGATCAGGGTTGGGGCATTCCTTGGGCTCTTTAATGTCGCAGTGATGAACTTGTCTGGTAACTGCCTCAAGGCACTTCCTGACTATGTCTTTAAGGGTCTAACCAAGCTGCACAGCCTTCACCTGGAAAACAGCTGTCTGAGCAGAATCAGGCCACAAACTTTCTCTAGCCTTTCCTGCCTCCGGAGGCTCTCCTTGCAACACAACACCATATCTGTGATTGAAGACCAGAGTCTGAATGAACTGCATGATCTTTTGGAGCTGGACCTTAAGCATAACAGGCTGACCCATCTTTCCTCCGACATGTTTGTAGGCCTCAATAACCTTGAATACCTACTCCTTTCCTCCAACCAGCTGCTGGAGATCTCTCACAACACTTTCAACTCACTTCAGCGTCTCTTCTGGCTTGACCTCTCCAACAACCATTTGGAGACACTGGACAAAAACATAATTACCCCTTTGACAAGCTTGCGGTATCTTAGCATCAGAAACAATTCCCTGGAAACCTTCTCAGTTGATTCTCTGAGCCCTTTACCTGTGCTGGAGCAGTTGTGGCTGGAAGGAAACAAGTGGCACTGCAACTGCTCACTGAAGGAACTAAGACACTTTTCCTTGCAGCGTCCTACAGTGGTTCCACGCTTTGTCCAGTCCCTTACAGAGGGAGAGGATTCCAACATACCTGTGTATGTGTACAACAACCTTACCTGTCTGAGCCCACCAGACGTGGCTGGCCTTGACCTGAGGGAAATCAGTGAAGACCACTTTGCTGACTGCTAACTGATATATTTCCTCTTTATAGAGGACTTTCTGCTTTCTATAGTTGGCACCATTAGACATATACTCACACAAGTTCCAGTAGCATCCAGTGAACCATTTTCCTATAGGCAAATAAGCTTGAAAGGTATAGCTATCTACCAGCTCAACCACCTTGCCTGATCTTTGTGTCAAGCTCACCAGTGCAGCAGTTCTAGAGCATGTGCCACCGTTCACTATTTCATAGGGAAGCCAGTACAATTGCACAGAACTCTTAGCTTTCTCTCTCCATGCTGCACCATTACTATATTTGTATAGCTGCAGTTTTCAACAGAACCAGCATACCAGCATTGGCTGAGCAGCTGGGGTAAACAGGTTCTTTGGACTTTGCAATTACCCTTGGGCTATTTGAACTTAGCGTTGTGATTCAGAGCCAGCATTCCTTTGCCCAGCACTGACAAGTGAAGGAAAGAATGGGGGCATGTGAAGGCCTGGGCAGATGGGAGCCTTTTCTGGGGACTGTTTTTTCCAATTAAAAAATTAAAATTGATTTTAATGAACCCAAACAAACTATGGTAGTACAATAAGAGTGACTCAAAGCTAACCTGGAAGGGTATTGACTGCTGAGGTCCTGCATTTAGCTCTGAAACTCATTGGGAGCAACGGATGGGCCACCTGTCACCAACAATGAGTATCTCATGTCAGCTTTTTAGCAACCATTTATAGTTGGTAGAGATGCTGTTGTCAACAGGTCATGGAGACAAACCCTCCTTAATGGAAAGAATATCACTGCAACCTCAGGGCCTCAAGCTGAGCAAACAGAGAGCAAATGAAGAAGCCAAGATGCTCTTAATCTGAGGAAGGAAAATCTGGGCCACAGTGATCATTAATGGGAATGCTAACAAAGTTATTTATCATTGCCCTGCAATAAGCCCCATTGTGACTAGGCAATGCATGCAGGGGCTTCATCCCATATGAACTGCAGTAGCTTGCCGCAGCAGTTGTCACTCTTTTCCATTCTGTGAGACCCTGCATTGCAATACAAAAATGTTTCAGGAACCCATAAAGCATTCTAACTGTACAGCACCAAATACAAAAGGGTCCCGATACATTGGCCTCTGAGGCTAGGACAAGACGCAATGGGCTTAAACTGCAGCAAGGGAGGTTTAGGTTGGACATTAGGAAAAAGTTCCTAACTGTCCAGGTGGTTAAACACTGGAATAAGTTGCCTAGGGAGCTTATGGAATCTCCATCTCTGGAGATATTTAAGACCAGGTTAGATAGAGGTCATCGAGTCCAGTTCCCTGCCCTCATGGCAGGACCAGTGCTATCTAAACCATCCCTGATAGACATCTCGAGGTCCCTTCCACTTCTAATGTTCTACGATAAGGAAGGCCCCACATGCTACCATAATGGAAATAATAAAGGGAGGGTGACTAAGCCCCTGAATTCTTGTAAAGAACCCATGGTACACAGAAGTAGTCAAGGGCAGAGCCTCATCTGTAATATCTGGTCACTGAAGCCAGGAAGAGTCTTGAAAAGCAGACACCTGACCTGTTATTTTAGGAAAGCAGAGTGCACATGACATGCTTTTAACTCCTTGAAATGGCAAATTTACGCAGGGTTAAGAAAAATCATGCACCTCAACTCCCTGATAAAACACAGCAGGCAAATAAACCTTTGGAGCTGCTATAGCTTATATGCTGAGGATTTTTTTAATTTTGTGCCTCACCTTGTTACAAATCTTATAAAAAAGCTAGTTGTGCTTGTGAGCAGTAGACACTGTTTAATTTTAAGTCACTCTTAAAATTTCCTGCACATCTTAAAAACTTCCACAAGGCAAAGCTAGAGCTTTTTACAAAGAAATTTCTTGCAGACTATTATTCAAATTTGAAAAAATGATCTATCAAAGTGCAAATTACTTGGGTGCACAACCATATTGATTTGTGGGACTTGTATTCTTACATTACTTTGGCATTTCTGAGAATCCTACTGAGTTCAATTGCAGTAAAAAAAAGATGACCAGTCTAACCCTGCTTCTGATTCCATGAGAGTTTAGCTACTGACTTCCACCAAAAGCAAGATCAGCTCAAGGAATCACACACAGATGCAGATTGCCAGGCAGATACCTGATCACCTCGGTTGCACTCGCAGGGCAATAGAAAGGTGAAAACATATAAAGTTATCTCAACCAGAATTAGGGATACTTGTCTCATTACTGTTCATACACATTTAAGTATGTAAATCCTTGCATTTAATTAGGAAAGGAAGGTGTGAGTTGCAAGACTAGTCTTTTTTATAACTGCAATGTGATCTAATAGGGTGCATCTACACTCTACCGTTGCTCAAAATAAGATACACAATTTTCATTGCTCAAATTGTGTATCTTATTTTGAAATAGCTTATTTCGTACTTTGGTGCTGTCTATAGAACGCCAAATTTCAAGATAACCTGGCATTCCAAAACATTCCTTACTCCTCATGGAATGAACTTTACAGGGACATCAGAATAGCAAGCCTGTTATATTTCAAAATAATGGGCTTGCTGTGAATAGCTATTTTAGGATACTCTGGTATCCCGAAATAGTGCTGCAGTGTCGATGTAGCCCAAGAGTGCAGGTATCGGCAATGCTATTTCTTCTAGCTGCCCACACAACTCCACCTGGAAATGGCTGGCTCACCCCCACAAGCTAGAACCCTGCCCCTTTCACATAGTTGCTTTCCCAGCCTTTTGTGCTCTTTGTTTATTTCAGGGAGTTCTCATTATGTGCTTGGTTGTTTGAGCAGCAGGTGCAGGGTATGCCCCTGGGACAAAGGGTAAGGGCTACAACATACTGAATAGGCAGAGTGATCAAGGTGGTGCTTGACAATATCAGTGAGAGAAGGTAGTGCCCCACGCTGATATGTGCAGGTGACTGGGTGGAGGAGATATAAACTCCCAAATGCCATTCAGACTGGCCAGTGGAAAACAGCTTAATTTCTTGGTACATGGCATAGCCAAAGTGAGTCCTAGGAAGGGACTGAAACATGGGAAAGTTTGAGAAGAAATTTCCTAGTATGCAAAAGGCTTACAGCAATTTTAGCATGAGACACTAAACAATGCGATACCAGCCTTGTCTACCTTAGCAGAACAAATGGGATGAGGGGAAGCAAAGTGACACTGGGTTAGAAACTCAGGACTATGAAGGAGATGAGAAACTTATACTTGGAGTAGGAGACAACAGAAATATTCACAAGGGGAACATCATGCACAGAACAGATAGGAAGAAGATTTTATCTGCAGTGTTTTGTTTGGATGGGAGGGAACAAGGTGTGTGCCAGGAAAGCCAGAGAGATTTTGGTAGTTGAGGCAAAAGTTGCCAAGGCCTGGCTAGAATTTGTAGTGACATGGTCAGAAAGAAAAGGCTGGACCTTAGCATATTACAGAGGAAGGAGGAGGATTCATACCCAGCCTGGCTGTGTGAAGCAGAGTTAAAGGGAGGAGGCAGAGAGAACCAGAGATTACAGGCTTGAGTTGCACAGCCTGGTGGTAGCACAGCCTGGGGGGTAGTAAAGAGAAGTTGGAAGAAGGTAAAGTTCTGTATAATCTAGCAATGAAACAGTCAGGCGATATATATGCAGATTCAGGGCCTGTTTCCACAAACATTTAATTCACCACAACTGTGAATCTACTCCACACTAATCTACCACATTTTTACAATCTGTGCAAACCCTAGCGGTGTGCATTAAGTATGTGTTAATGGACTTTGGTTTATTCCTGTTTCAAAGAGACCAAATCAAGCACATTATGAATGGTTACCATGCAGCACAAGTATCCATGCAGCGAGTCACTCCATGGCATGTGGAGATTCACATGAGAGCCCAGCCTGAGACAATTTTTTAAATCCTGTTCTCAGCATGCAATATGTACTCCCACCTGCTCCTGCAGTTTCCTGTAGTTTTATTCCACTGCCACAGTAACTCCCGCACACTTAGACCAATGGCTGTTTTGATCAGGTGGCCCAGATGGACCTGATGCTAAAACAGAAGTGATGAAGAACTGAATTTAAAGCAGACCATCTTCTCTAACCACAAAGGCCAATGTAGAACTTCCTTAATTAAAAAAAAATAATCCAATGGCCAGCAGAGGGGAACCATTATTTTGCTACCAAAATAGGGACAGATTCTGAAGGCTACAGGAAGGAAACTAGGATTTGGTGGGAGGGGAAGGGAGACAATCCCCTCCAATCACACAAAAGGCAATGAGACATTCAGATGGTAAGAAAACATTATTTAATGTCCAGAGCTGTTACAAAGATTCCTGAGCCCTGACACCTCTCAGGTCACGTCTATACTTACGCAGAGATTGACGCTCCAGAGATTGATCTTCCAGCATTCGATTTAGCAGATCTAGTAAAGACCCACTAAGTCGAGTACTATCCATGTTGGGGTACTCCTCAAATTGCGAGGAGTAAGGAAAGTTAATGGGAGATCATGTCAAGCTCCTGCTGTGGAGATGGCGACAAAGTTCAAATTAAGGCATGTTGACTCCAGCTAAACAATTAACATAGCTGGAGTTGTTTGTCTTAATTCAAATTTCTACATGAGTATAAACGTGGCTTCGGGGAGGCAAAATATGGTGTGTTCCTTAGGTAGGCATGATAAGACAGATTTAGTAATCAGACTTCAGAGTTGCTGCATGGATTTGACGCTTTTCATAGGCATATTCTGTACCATCTACTTAAAGCTTCAGAGTACGACGATATAAGGAGGACCCAGGATCAGAGGGTCTGGCATGAAGCCTATTCAAGGTCACTGTGAACTGCAAGTACTGCTAGGAAAGTAAATGAAGGAAGGTAGCAGCATCAGGAGTTTTTTTTGGGGGGGGGGTGAGGAGGAGGAGATTGCTGGTGCTATTCGTTTCAATAAGGGAAGGGTTTTCTGTCCTGAATCATCATCAGCCACAGAGGCCAACAGCTACCTACAATTTACATTGCCAAGAATACTGCAGTGATTGATACACTGCAAAAACAAGTAGGAACATCATGGTGGATGGGGTGGCCATCTTCACAATACACAAATTTAGCAAGAGTTCACGGACAGATGAAAATTTCTGTGTGGCTAGTAAAAGCTGCACCACCTATTCCCCCCCCCCCCCCAACTTCCTAGTCCAGGATGATCATCATGCCCATCTGCTCAAAAGGCAAAGAGTGTTGCAAATGTACACTCCCCCTTTGAGCAATAGTAAACTCTCACAAGGTTTCCTCAGTGCTTTAATAGTGAGACTGTCACTTCCCTTTCCCAGGACCTCCTCTCCCCATCCTGAAAATAGCCTGGTCCATGGCTCACAGCGCAGCAAAGAGGTGGCCAGAAAGAGTCCTGCCTTAGAAACAGCTCAGGAGCTCTGAGAGGATGTCCTGTCCAAGATCTGCTGGGCGATGTGAGCAAGGGCAGGGAAAGCAGAGCTCTTAGGAAACTCCCGGATGAAATCTCTGCCCTCCTCCAAGCACTGGGCGAGCTGGGGATCAAGAGGAACACAGCCTGTGTGGGAGGGCAAAGGGAGAGAGTGACCATGAGACCACCAGAATGAGTTAACAAATGAAAGTATGCACATGCAAGTCAAAAGCCCAGAAACGCAAGAGTAAGCCACCCACACAAGCAAAAGGAGAGACAGAAAAAGACCAGACAAATGGAATTAAGCATTAACCCCTTTTACTGCTCCCCTACAACAGTATGTACTAGAGATGCAGCACCATCACTCCTTTCTATTCAGAAACGTCTGCTATCAGTGCTTTCTAGCACTACTATCAGCAGAGTTTTACCCTGGCATTGCTATCAAGACTCTTGCTGGGTCCTTGATGAGGGGGAGGACTAATTAAATAATAAATTCTTCATTTCTATCACAGGAGTGCCACTGGACTCCCAGTGGTGCTGTCTCTATTTGCCATGACCTGATGGCAGGCAATAGAGATTACTCCAAATCTCTTACTACATCCAAAGCCAGACTGGATTGCCAAGTATCTCTGTCTCTGTTCTCTCCTGGCCAGGCACACGACTACATCCATTTGGCAGCTCCATTCTCTTCTCCTAAACCAGATTATCTTCATACCTCAAGGAGAGATGTCCCTCTTACCTTACAGTTTGGTTTCTAGATCCCCTTTCATGCTCCTTGTGGCACTGTTTTCTCACCACTCACCAACCACTTCACCCTCTGACCTACTACCCCTGTCTAGGAAGGGCTCTGCATTCAAAAAGGCACTCACCTAGGAATGGGACTCTGGCATGCCTGGCCAGCTCTTCACCACCCCCTTTGGAAAAGATATTTGTGCACTCCTGGAAAAGCAAAAAAAAAAAGACAACAGCATTTAGCCATCAGGAACTTTCCAAAGCAGCAGTTCTGTAGGCCAATGGGCATTGCAAATGGGCAACATGACTGTTTATCGGGGTACGTTAAAACTAAGACAACACAGACAATGCTACAGTTACCTGAGCAAGCAAACTTTATTTACCTGTGGCAGCTGCTGGGTCCTCCCACCTCATGCACTTCTTACCCCTCAAAGAGCTGCCTCTCCTGAACCTACCCCAACAGCTAGCCAATGAAGAAGGGCATGACTCACAAAGCTGTATAGTCAGTTGCAGACTATAGTCAAGAAAAATCGCTTCACACCCCAGGTCTTAAGCACAAGAATGTAGCATATTGGCTAGCGCCCCATTGATGCAGGGGGTGCACAGCCATGGGTCAATTTTAAAGGGCTCACCAAGCAGTGTGGGCAGACGAAACCACTCATGTTTTCTACAATCCCGATCACTCGTAAGCCTGTCTTCTTGCAGAACGTCAACTCTCGCCTGACATCCCCTATAGACACTGCCTGTGGGCACAGAATCCTGCAAGATCAGTAATAATGGACCAGCAAAGTTGAGAGGTGCATGTCTGCTTTGTCATCCATTCATCCTCTGCTGTCAACCCAGGATACACACAGCAGTTGCACGGATGAAGTAAGCAGAAGTGCAGAATTAATAACGATAGAGAGAGATGGACACTTATACAGAGACATGTAAACACAACCCTTAAGGGGTCAATAAAACATTAATTTGGTGTGACCTCAGGACAGACCCCAAAGAAATACCCACCCCAGAAAAAGCCAGAGGCATCTGCTCCAGTAATCATTACATACCTGTGGTGTTGTGACCAAGACTGCCCCAAGGGGCATGTACTGGCGAAGGGATTCCACTGTAGAAATGTGCTCATCTGAGGTCCCCGGAGGTGTATCCACAATGAGGAAATCGAGTTCTCCCCAGGTTACATCAGAGATAAATTGCTTTATCAAAGCTGCCAGAACAAAAATGGGGGAAAATCTTGAATCACAAGTGTGGTCCATAGACTCAACAGTGGGGCAGTAGCAATTGTTCGATATCAGATCACCACACTGTGGGAACAGATAGGTGCAAAAGAATAGAAGAGAAGCACTCTATGAACAGAAGCAGCAACAGTATCATCTTCCCTAAAGGGTCTCTATCTTTCTCTACAAGAAAT